GGCGGGGACTAGAACTAGTTGACCAATAGTAGATGTGTTTGATCAGGAAAATTATTTGGGATCTTTAGCTTCAAGTTAGTTTCTCATTAAGCTTGACAATTTTGATTTTTAGGGGCCTACTTAGCGAGTCAGAAGTATGCGTTTTATCAAATACTTGAGACATTGTGAGAAATAAAGCTTCGAATAGTACCGATGGGTTGGCAGGGGCCGAGTGAAGTACCTATACCAAGAAGTTAGGAGGCGGATCCTACGGGGCATGAGAGAGACTCTAATAAGATCTATATGAAGAGGATTGTGGGATAATGTGGCAGACTGATCAAGATTTCAAGAACAAGAGTGAAGAGAGTTGAGGGGATGAGAAAGCCACCATGGGGTATGGAGAATTCTCATGACATCCTCTCAAAAATGCGCATCATATTATATTTAAATAAGCAATTAAGTTATTGTGATAGTGAAAGGATGATACGAGGATATATGATTGGTGAATAGCCCAGGGCAGGAGAGATATTACAATTGTTTAGCAGACCATCGTTAAAAAGGATCAGCTTCACCTGTTGTAGTGTGGTGTTAAAAATGACAAGGCTCATTGACCATGCCAGCGAAACGTCAGGGTATGTACCACGTCCATGGTCCGACTGGAAATTATGATGCCTACTTTGTACTCCGATCTGGGTGTGTTCCAGGTCTTCCTACCAATATGACCAAGTCGTGAAAACAAGGTCAAACAGCTTCTTTTAAACTTTTGGTAGATTTTGCGCCTCAAGGCTATATTTTGCATATACCTTCACTCCTGCTCTAGATATTTTGATAAAATATCTAAAAAATATCTCCCAACTTGTTTTTTTTGCAAACTACAGACACTAAGATAATTTTGTCTAACTGGTTTCTTTAAATTATTATTCAAGTATTTTGGCTATATGCAATGCGATTTAATGTTCTTTTTGTCTTTCGGTGCTTCGAATAGAGCTATTTTTATAATCCATTTGTATATTCAGTTTTATTACCAAATCACTTTTATTTTACTATGCTGATATTTATATATATTTGATATGCATCATTTATACTTCATTATACTTATATGTTTATAGTTATGATATTTTGGAGCATCTTATGCTAATCCTTTTTCTTCAAATAAAAAACCAATTTTAGATTTAAAGGCCGAGTTAATGAGTATTCGGGAAATCTACAAAGTCCAACAGTTTGAAACCCAACTTGCTCTAGCCACCGCAAAACGAGCTGCAGATTCTTTATCCCAACTAAGTGATGGCTCAAATATGATTTCTAAATATCCCACTCCTGGCCAACCCTGTTCGACTTGCCTAAAATGGACTGGCCATTTGACAGATTTTCAAAAGCTGGTTGATATTTCTTTAGATCGCTTCGCAGCTGATCGAATCGCCTTGGCCGATTTCGCCTTAGAGTCCGCTGGCGCCTCTATTGTTGGTACCCGATGCACCCGCACCTATACGGAAGGGGCTGCTGTGTTAAAATTTCTTGGTATTCCACTTGCTTTTATTAGCAGATCTCCCAGGTATCTATTTTATTTTTATTTTCAATATTACTCAAGGTCTACTCTGCCTATAATTTATTTCATTCGTTTCAGCCTGCATTACTAGCGAACTGATATACTTAGTTTATTATGCTCACTTGAATTTCAAATAGACTTTACTTTTAATCAATGGTATGAAGACCAAGATGGTGTTGCCTTTTGTATTGTTACGGTCTCCTTTCGTTGTATACATGTTTCTTAACCTTGTATTCGTAACTTGATCATATTTGCAGGACGACCTAAGGGAGCACGCCTTGTTCGGAATCCATAGTATGCATGATACTTTTCAGTCGGACCTTGGACTTAGTACATTCCCAGACGTCGTCCTGCCAATGCAAACAAGTTGTTTAAACAAGGTCAAACAACTTCTAGATTTTACTTTTGCTTGCCACAGCCTCTATCTCGATTTACTTGCTTTAAGGAGGTTGTTTGACCTTGTTTTCGCAACATAGTCATATTGGTAGGAAGACTTATTGGAACGCTCAAAGGAGCACACCACACTATCTAAATAAACACGGTAAAAATTTTAATAGCGAAGGCATGATAGGATTCAACCGGAAATGCGAATAACCCAGGGCAGAAGGGGAGATACCACAATTATTTAGCACAAGTCTGGTCAAA